TGCCATCACAAGGTCAGCCTGCCCGAGGGGGAGTCTTGGGAAGGTACCTTCACCTCTCTAATGGCGTGTCAGGGCATGTGACTGTGATGTCAGGGTCCTTTGGTGGCCCTTGACTCTGGTACCTGGCTGTGGCTCTTGTTGGGACATCTCTGGAGCAGCCTCCAGCATGACTTTGGGCCACCTTGAGCAATGCCAGGTCAAAGAGGGGTGACTCCCCATGGCCCTGGGGTTCTGATTCTGGGGGGTAGCTGGGACCCCACTCCCAGGCTGCCGTTCTCCAGCCCTAATCCCCTCCCTCTGCCCTTTCTTGGCCCCAGGGGACATCCGCTCCTGGAAACATAAACATCAGATCTCCAGGGGATGCCTCTTCCCGTTCTGGCCTCTGGGCTCCTGCTTGCACAGAGTGGAGTCCCCCTGAGGCTGGTGTATCTATCTGCTGGGCACTGTCAGCTGAACACCCTCTCGGGCCTGGATCTCACCCTCCCTAAACTACAGCTTCAGTTCCTGGGGCAGGGTTGGGGTCCCCCATATGGAGGTGTGCTCCTCTCCCATCCTCTGTGGCAGTCAGCAGAGCCAGAAAATCCAGGCCCAGCCTTGTGAGGTGGGACATGGTTCCCAGGCAGCAAGGCCACCAACCTCTGGCTGCCCCTCTTTGTGCCTCAGTCTCCTCGTCAAACGGGGATGTTAACAGTACCCACCTCACGGGGTTGGTGGAAAGCATAAATGGGCTAATGTGTACAAAGTGCTTCGATAGTGCCAGGCACACAGCACGTGCTCAATAAGTGTCTTGTTACAGTGAAACCTGTGAGAGCTGGAAGTCGATGAGACTGCCTTGTTTTTCCTGGTGTTGCAAGTTTTCCACCTTTGACAGGGTGCAGTCTTACCACTTTTCTATCTCTCATTTTGGTGACAAATATTTGCGTTTTCCTTCTCTCACAGGTTTCCACCTCTCACAGGTTTCCACCTTACACAGGTTCCGGCTTTCACAGGTTTTACTGTATCCTATACCTAAACGGACCTAACCTGGTACCCGGTACCCAGCAGGCGCTCAATAAATGGGTATTATCATCAAAGGCCCAAGCTGATAATCTGTGAATGATTATTCCATCTTGAGAGTGTTTTTAAAATTCTCTTTAGAATTGACATGGAATAAAAATTGACACTTTTTAGTATAAAGTTCTGTGAGTTTTGACACACATGTAACCACCACCATTGGCTTGTCTCTCAGCAGAATTCATTTGATTCATCCAGGTTGGTTTGTATATCAGTAGTTCATTCCTTTTTATTGCTGAATAGTATTCCATTGTATGGATCTATAACAGTTGGTTTATCTGTTCACCAGTTGATGGACCTTTGGGTTCTTTCCAGTTTCTGATGATTATGAACAAAACTGCTATATACATTTGCATATAGGTTTTTACGTGGACAGATATTTTCATTTATCTTGGGTAAATACCGAGCAGTGGAATTGCTGGGTCATACAATAAGTGTATATTTAATTTCATGGAAATTGCCACACAATTTTCTAAAGTGGCTGTTAACGTTTTGCATTCTCAACAGTAATGTATGACGGATCCAGGGGCTCCATATCCTTGTCAGAACTTGGTTTGTCAGTTTGGTGTTTTGTTTTTCAGTTATCCTAGTAGGTGTGACAGTATTTCCTGGTATTAATTTGCATTTCCCTAAGGATGAATTGGAGCCCTTGTGGCACAGTGGTTAAGAGCTTGCTGCTAACCAAAAGGTCGGCAGTTTGAAACCACCAGCCGCTCCTTGGATACTCTATGGGGCAGTTCTACTCTGTCCTATAGGGTTGCTATGAGTCGGAATCAACTCGACGGCAATGGGTTGGTTTTTGGTTAAGGATGAGTTATGTTTCCTATGCTTATTTTCCATCTGTAAATTTTCTTTGGTGAACTGTCTGTTCAAATCTTTTGTTCATTTTTTTATTTAGTTGTTTTATTATTAAGTTTCAAGAGTTCTTTATGTATTCGAGATACGAGTCCTTTGTCAGATACTTTCTCTTAGTTTGTAGCTTGTTTTTCTTTTTTCATTTACTTGACAGTATCTTTTGCAGAGCACAAGTTTCAGTGTTTTTTAAGAAGGTTGAATTTTTCACTACTTGAAGTGGGGATTTCTGGTTTTGCTTGGAAAATTGGAACCTCTGGCTACTCAGGGCCCTCAGCCACGCTTGCTTTTGATGTCGGCTGCCTGACCCCTGGGAACATTCGCGTTTGCCATCTCTGCTGCAGTGGGGGTCGAGAAGGCAGAGGGTTGTTGTTAGGTGCTGTTGTTGCAAAAACAGTTAACATTTTTGAGTCTGAAGATGGATTTGAATTCTAACTCTGCCACAGACATGCCGTGTGACCCAGAGGTGAACATTCTTCTCCTTGAGGCTCAGTTTCTTCATCTGTAAAATGTTGTCAATGAAGCACGCCCAGAAGTGGCCCCAGAAAACAGGCTCACTTTGTGGAAGCTGGAGCCCTGGTGGCCCAGTGGTTAAAAGCTCAGGCTGCTAACCAAAAGGTCGGCAGTTTGAACCCACCAGTCACTCCTATAGGGTCGCTCTGAGTCAGGATCAACTCAATGGCACACAACACCACCACTGTGGAAGCTGGTATCTGTATTTTGGTCTAGGAGATTTCAAGTTTTATTTCTTAGCAGACGGACCATTCAAATAAATAATTCTTGACATGTAGGAACAGAAAGAGCAGCTTCCTGTCCCTCCCCCTCCCCACTCAGAGCAAACCTGAAGTCTGCTGACCAGTCCAGCTTTAATGACAGAGTAACAGAGACCAGAGAGGGCAGTGGCATTCCTGAAGCCACACAGCCCATGATGGGTTCATATCTCCCCACTCTCATCCTCAGCTCTCTGTGTCAACTGCCTGGCTGCCTTGCTGAGTCCACTCCTCAAGTAGAGTTTTCGGGGCTGACAGACTGTCACCAGCATTTTTCGAGTTCTGTGCCAGGTACCATTCCAAGCACGTTACCTATCTTAATGCTGGTCACCTGGACAACCTGGCGAGGGAGGCGATGGTTGTCCCCGTTTGGTGAATGAAGAAACTGAACTTAAGTCATTTACCACAAGTCCCATAGCGAGGAAGTGGCACAGCCAGGGTCTCCCTGCCTCATCCTGGGGATCTCTGTCTCACTAGTGCCCCCAAGCTGGGGTCCCACTGTCTCCCCTCCCTGTGTAGCTGTATTTCTGTCTTGGTATGTTTGTATCTCCACTCCAGCTTCCTTGCTGTTCTTCAAAAACAAACTAATTCCTGCCTCAGGGCCTTTGCACTTGATATTCCTTTTGTCTGGAGTGCTCTTCCCTACCTCCTGACTTTAGACCAGGTCCATGTCACCTTCAGGCCCTGCTCAGATGTCCCCTCCTCAGAGAGGCCTGCTCTGACCACTGCAGCTAAATCACTTCTCCAGTAACTTCCTGTCACGGGACCTCATTTTAATTCTCTGCAAGGCACAATCCAGTTCATGTATTCATTCATTCATTTATTAATGATTCAGTCAATAAATATTTATTGGGTACTGTCTTAGTTATCTAGTGCTGCTATAACAGAAATACCACAAGCGGATGGCTTCAACAAACAGTTTATTCTCTCACAGTCTAGTAGGCCAGCAGTCCAAATTCAGGGCATCAGCTCCAGGGGAAGGCTTCCTGTCTCTGTCAGCTCTGGAGGAAGGTCCTTGTCATCAATCTTCCCTTGGACTAGGACCTTCTCAGTGCAGGGACCCTGGGTCCAAAGGACATGTTCTGCTCCTGGCACTACTTTCACTAATTCAATCCATAGCAGGCACCCACTGTGTGCCAAGCCCTGTTCTGGGCCCTGGGGACTCACAGTGAACAAAGCAGACAAAAGTCTCTGCTCTGTGGAGCTTAGTTCTAGAAGGGAAGGCAAACAGTAAAGAAACTAAGGAAACTGTAGAGTATGTCAGGTGGTGATATGTAATTTTTTTTTTGTTTAAGGGGCTGCAATTTTAGATGGGCTGGTCAGGGAAGACAGGTCCCTGGGTGGCACAAACAGTTTGCACTTGGCTGCTAACCTAAAGATTGGTAGCTCAAACCCACCTAGCAGCACCACAGAAGGAAGGCCTGGCGATCTGCTTCTATAAAGATTACAGCCAAGAAAATCCTATGGAGCAGTTCTACTCTGTAACATGGGATAGCCATGAGTCAGAATCAGCTTGACAGCAACAGTGTGTTTTTGGTCAGGGAAGGCCTCCCTGAGGAGGTGACATTTGATCTGAGACCTGAAGGAAGTGAGGGAGGAGCCAGGTAGATAATCAGGGGCAAGAATGTTCCAGGGTGAGGCAACAGTCTGTGCAAAGGCCCTGAGGCTGGAATGTGCCTGGAATGTTCAGGGAACATGGAGGAGGCCATGGTGGCTGGAGCAGAGTGAGCGAGAGGGAGAATGGGGGAGACAAGGGCAGGGAGGTGACGGGGCAGAGCGTGCAGGACCTGTTGGTCACGGTGAGGGCTTGGGCTTTTGTTCTGAGTGAGATGGAAGCCATGGAAGGTTCTGAGCAGAGGAGGGACATGGCCTGACTTGAGCATTCACAGGCTCCTCTGGCCGCTGGAGAGGACAGACCGGGTGAGGGCGGAGTACGGGCGGAGACAACTGCACTGGTCCAAGCGGAAGATGACTGGGACTGGCCAAGGAGGGAGGGAGAAGTGGGCTGATTCTGAATCTATTTGGGGCATAAACGAAAGAGCAGACCTGAAGAGGACCCCGCAGCCTGGGGGGGGGCCTTGCTGCTCTGTTAAGCTGTCTGACCCATGTTGTCATCTCCCTGAAGGGCAGACGTGGTCTGTCTTGGTCACTGTTGTGTCCCCGGCACCTGCACAGCGACTGGCACCCTCAGGTGCTCAGTAACTGCTCTCTGCAACGCCTTGTCCCCCACCTGTCTTGGTGTGTCTGTCTCTCTTGGTCTCCTCCTCCCTCTCGACCTCCCCACCGCCAGCTCAGCCTCCCTGCCCCTCTTCCTGTCCCTTGCAGCTTCGAGGCAGCCGAGAATGGGCCAATGCCATCGCCCGGCCGCAGCCCCCTGGACTCGCAGGCGAGCCCAGGCCTCGTGCTGCACCCTGCGGGGGCTGCCAGCCAACGCCGAGAGTCCTTCCTCTACCGCTCGGACAGTGACTACGACATGTCACCCAAGACCATGTCCCGGAACTCGTCGGTCACCAGTGAAGTGTGAGCGCCCCCCTCCTCACCTGCCTGCTTCTGCAGCCCCACCCCAAGCTGCCAGTCCCAGCAAGGAGTGTGGGTGCCCACCCCAACCTGCCCAGCACCCCCAGAGTGTGCCCCTCTCCTGACTCAGCCTGGGCTCAGCTGCTATATAGCATGTGCACCCACGCCATCTCTGCTCCCGACACCCACACTGAGCCCCTCCCTCAGGCCCAGTCCCCACTGATGTCCACGTAGTCCTGGCCCTGAGAGCCCCTCCCTACCCATTGACTGCCCAGGCCTGGCCCCACCTCAGCTGTCTGCTCCAGCAAGGAGGGCGCACACCCACCCGGCCCCTCCCTGCCCACCGCCAGCTGGGCATGAGTTTCTTCCTCACCTTGCCTGAGCCCCCCTCCTGCTCTTCCCAGCCTTCCCCAAGCCAGCCCCCCGTGTCATGCCCACACCGAGACCTGCTCAACCCCATCCCCACTCACTGGCTCCTCCAGGCCCTGCCCCTATGGAGGTGTCCACCTCAGCCCCCAGCCCCCTTCTTGTCCTCTGGCTCTCCTCCTGCCCCACCAGGCACCCTCCCCACCCACTACTCTCACCAAGCCCAGCTCCTGAAGCATGTTCACCCCTCTCTGTCCCTGTCCCCAGCCTCTCCCCGCTCACCTACCTGAGCCCCTCTCCCTGCCCACTACTTCCTTCAGGCCCAGCTCCTACACCCTTATGAGGTGGAAGAGCCCCCACCCCACAAGTCCCTGCCCTGCCCACAAGCCACCCTCCCCACCCCACAGTGTCCACCCCACAGAGTTGCTTCTCTGGCTCCCCAGGTCCCTGGGGGTTCCTGCTACGGGGAGCCCTGACCTGTCTTTGCCCTTGGTTGCAGGCATGCCGAAGATCTCATCGTAACACCGTTTGCTCAGGTGAGGCCCCTCCCCAGCTCTCCCCTGCACTGGGGAAAAGGGGCACAGCCCTGGCTGCCCCTCCAGTGGACACCTCGCCTCACTGCCCTTTCCTGTCCCAGGTGCTGGCCAGTCTCCGGAGTGTTCGCAGCAACTTCTCGCTCCTGACCAATGTGCCCATTCCCAGCAACAAGTAAGTCGAGGCTGGAGGCCAACACCCATGATCATGAGGCCAGGCCCAACTCTCAGCCCTGCTGTGCAGCCTCAACTCAGGCAAGCACTTGGCCTCTGTGAGCCTCTGTTCAAGCCTCTCTCTGAACTGTTGAGCCACTGTGGTTCGAGAGCCTAAGACCCAGAATGAAGGATTGGGATGCGGGGTGGGGGGGTGAGACCATGGGTGGCAAGTTGCTCCAGCCCTGGGGCCATTCCTGGCCCTGATGCGGATTTGCCAGGCAAATGGTGAGAACTGCTGGCCTCTCTGGGGGGAGGGGGAGCAGAGCCATTCTCACATGGTTTGAGGAGTAGGGGGTGGCAGTCAAGGGAACAGAGACTTTGGAGTCACCGGACCTGACCCTGCTACTGATCAGCCATGTGGCCCTGAGGAGGCTGTTTCACACCCCTGAGCTTCAGTTTTCTCATCTGTAAAACGGGTTCTTGTGTTCAGTGAGAGGCTGCTGGTACGGTACATGGCAGCATGCTTGGGATGCAGGAGCACTGAGGAAGAGGAAAACTGGTGCTGTCCTGGGTTTTCAGAGGGCGCATCATGGAGGGTGGGGAGACAGAGATGTGGGGGGCCCAGGCTGACACTGGGGCCTATTTCTCTGCAGGCGGTCACCAATGGGCGGCCCACCCCCCGTCTGCAAGGCCATGCTGTCAGGTAGCTAAGCCCAGGGGGTGGGAAAGGGTCCCTGTTGCTGCCCCAATGGGAGGAGGGCCTGTCTCTGCATGGCTGTCCCACCCCCTTTTCCAGCACCCCAATCACCTGGAGGTCCCCATCACCCTGGGCCAGGGCCTCTGGGGAGCCTCGCAGTCACAGCCTGGCCACCCTTTCCCCAGAGGAGACGTGTCAGCAGTTGGCCTGGGAGACGTTGGAGGAGCTGGACTGGTGTCTGGAGCAGCTAGAGACCATGCAGACATACCGCTCTGTCAGCGAGATGGCCTCTCACAAGGTGTGCTGAGGGGGTGGGGGCTAGGAGCCGTGTGTGTGTGTGTGTGTGTGTGTGTGTGTGTGTGTGTGTGTG